TTCATTAATGCAGTTTACAGTTCAGTTAACTTGTTTTTAATAGTGTGCTCAGTTTAATTATCAGTGTTTGTGTGACATACAATTTGTGGTGTTGAATAAAAAAATAAAAAATAAACCTAATGTCTTCATTTTCAACTTTAGTAACATGCAATATGCTTAGCATCATTTTAAATTTGAATTACATAATATCCAGATAGAGAAAGTGAATGGTTGTTTGTCTCGTTTGTCTCTATGTGGCCCTGTGATGGACTTGCGACCCGTCCAGGGTGTACCCAGCCCCTCGCACAGTGATTGCTGGACATGGGCACCGGCGACCCCCGTGACCCAAAATGGAACAAGCGGGTAAAGAAAATGGATGGATGGATGAATATCCAGATAGCTTCATTTAGCTCAGAGCTTCATTATATCTCTCACACTAACATAAATACTGTTTATTATTATTAAACTGTTATTATTTAGCACATTTAGTATGTTATAGTGCAGTGCAACATGTGCGCGTGTTTGTGTGTGTATGCGTTTTTTTCTTATAGCTGCGCTCAGTGTGTGTGTGTGTGTGTTCGTCTCTCTTGCTGTGTGCACATGTCTGCCTGTTGGCTTCATCAGACACAGAACAGACTGCAGTCGGAACACAGTTCTATTTTGTATAGGCTTCGCCCTTTAAGGCTGTCGCTGGTGGGTTTATCCCCAAGGCGCTCAGCACTGCACTGAAAACTTTAGTCCTCGCCCACCTGCTGTGTGGGCCTCAACCCCAGTCCGTATAAATTACAGTGAGACCAGGTAATTGGCTCCCATTTTTTTCTTCAGCCAGCTAGCTAGCACTGTCAAAAGAATGAAGAAGGAAAAGTTGTCCAGCTTTGATCAGCACAACCTTTGCTAAGGATGCCTGGGTCTCCGCCACGCCAACTTCCTGCCGTCCCGGTGAGCTCTTCCTCCCCGAGGACAAGCAGACGAGCAGCCTTGTTCAAGGTAAGCGCCAAGGAGTGGTTTTCCGTGGCGGGCCGCTACCCGCTGGACGACGACATCGCCTTTTCTAATGTTTTTTCCTGCGGTAATCGAATGATTTCCTCGAAAAAGGGCGATGTTAGCAGCAACCCCGCTGAATGTTCATTCCGTGGCGGGCCACTACCCGCTGGACGATGCCACAGCCTTTTCCAACGTGTTTTTTCCTTGCGGTAATCAAATGATTTCCTCAAAAGGCGATGTTAGCAGCAGCCCCGCTGAATGGTTTTCTGTGGAAGGCCGCTACTCGCTGGACGACGCCACCGCCTTTTCTATCGTGTTTTTTCTCGAGGTAAATCGGATGATTCCCTCGAAAAGGCGTTGTTGGCAGCAGCTCCACTGAGTGGGTTTTCTTTTCTGTGGCGGGAAGCTATGCGCGGGACGACGCCACCGCCTTCTTCGACGCAGAGTCACGCAGTGAATTGAATGACTCCTCAGAGAAAGGCGATGCGGAGCTGCCCCTTCCATCCTGGAGAGCGTAGTGATGGAAGACGAGTGGCCGAGCGAATGCTCAGCCACCTCAGATCTTCCCACGTTGGCGACCACACCGTTCCCAGCCGTCGGTGCCCTCCTCTCGGAACTGCCTGGCATAATTCAGGAGGATGTTAACACAAGGGACTTTCCGTCCCTCACCTCCCTCCACCCTGATCGGATGATCTGGCGGCAAGGTTGGCTCCGCCCGGGCTCGTCACCCTGACCCCATCTGGTCTCGCTGTCCAGCTGTGATGTCACACTGGAACAAGGATGCAGCTGGGCTGGCAAGCTGAAGACATCCGTCTCCACCTTCACCTCCATCTCCAGAGTGGAAGGTTTTACTGATCGGTGTTTTTCCCTCGGTCCCCCTCCCCCCCTGGAGCCAAGCCTGGCGGTGGCACTTGGGGCAAAAGCTTCCAGGATGGACCAGCAACCTGTCACTCCAGGGAAGCAGGACCAGATGGTGACAAGGTCTCCAACCGAGCTCACTAGTGCTCATTCCAGACAGCCGCAGCGAACAACAACGTCACCCTGCTGGCCTACAGTATTTCTAAGAGGCTGGAAGAAGTAGACCTGCTGGAGGAGACAAAGAGCTCTCTCTGTAAAGCTGCTGATGTCATCTTAAACATGTGTCA